ACCATCAATGTAAACGGTATCAATTCACCAAAAGAAACAGACTGGCAGAATGGATCAAGAAACAAGATCCAACAATATGCTGCATACAAGAAACACACTTACCTTAAAAACAAATTCACGGACTGAAAGTCAAAGGATGGAAAACAATACTTCATGTGACAAGAACCCAGAAAATAAGCAGGAGTTGCTGCTCTATTTGCAAACAAAGTGGATTTCAAGCCAAGACTGATCAAGAGAGACAAAGAAGTCACTACATACTTGTTAAAGGAACAATCCAAGAGGAAGAGATAACAATCATAAAGATGTATGCACCAAATACTAGCATACTTAACTATATAAAACATATTAATGGGCATGAGAAATCAATCACTAATACAGCTATAATGGGGAGGCCTTAACAATCCTGACACAGATCGACAGATCAACTAGATAAAAACATCAACAAAGAAATATAAGAACTGAACCAAACTTTCTAACAAATGGACTTAGTAGATATCTACAAGGTGTTCTACTCCACAACGTCTGGATACACATTCTTCTCATCTGTACATGGGATGTTCTCCAAACAGACCACAAAGTAGCTCATAGAACATACTTAGGTAATGCAAAGGAAGTGTAATTAACCCATGCATATTATCAGACCACAGTGCAATGAAGTTGGAAATGAATGGCAATCCCCCCACAAATCTACATAAACACATGAAAATTAAATATCACCCTTTTGAACAAACAATGGGTCATAAATGAAATTAAGAAATTAGACAGTTTCTACCATTAAATGATAATGCCAGTCCAGGAAGGTAGCTTAGCAGTGCACTGCCTGCCCTGGTAAGTGTGAGGCCCTGAATTTGATTCCTGGTACTAAAGCAAAACAAAATGAAAACCAGCAACAACTATAACCCCCACCACCCACCCCAAACACAATAATGCCAATACAACATGCTGGAACTTATGGGATGCAACGAAAGCAGTCTGACAAGGATAATTTATAGCAGTGAATTCCCACATCAAAATAACAGAACGAGCTCAAATAAACAATCTAATGTTGAACTTCAAGCTTCTAGAAAAAGAAGAGCAAGTCAAGCTTAAAGATCATTCAAGGAAAGAAATTAAAAAGATCAGAGCAGAAATTAACACAATTGAGTCTAACAAAACAATATGAAGAATTATCACGAAATTGAAGAGTTGGTTCTTTGAAAGATTAAATAAAATTGACAAACCCTTAGCCAACCTTATCAAAAAAAGAAAGAGAAGACTGAAATACATGCAATTAGGAAGAAAAAGACTGAAATCAGAACAGATCCTGTGGAAATCCAGATCATCAATACCTACTTTGAGAATATGAATTCTCAAAAGATATGGACGGATTTCCTAGATACACATGAATTATCAAAGCTGAATCAAGAAGATATAAATTCCAAATAAACCACTATCAATGAAACCAAAGATAAAATTAAAAACCTCTCAATAAAGAAAAGCCCATGTCCTGAAGGATTCACTGCTGTATTATACAAGAAATTTATAGAAGACCTAATGCCCCTACTTCTCAAACTTTTTCAGAGATCAGAAAATTTTTCAGGATGTCAGAAAATAGAAAGATATCCCTTGTTCTTGGATGGGAAGAACGAATATAGTGAAAATGGCCATACTTTCAAAATTGTTATCAGATTTAATGCAATCCCAATCAAAATACCAATAGCACATCTATGAAGAGCCTCTGAATAAAATGGGTAATTATGATGCCTACACATTTGAGCTTTTAGTGCCAAACAGTAACCAACAAAAATGTCAGAATTAGCTCAACTGACTTAGTATTGGTGAAAGTATTTTACAATGCCAACCCAGGACTTAGGATAATTAGAAAAGATTAAACAAAAGTAAATCTTAGTAGAAAATGTGTATTTTCTTTTATTAGATATGGAATTTCACATTGTGACACAGGATATATGTCAGTTTAAGTTTAAATAAAGTCTGCTGAACCTCAGGTTGAAGAAAAAGCATGAATTCTCTGATCAGTATAATTTACTGCCTAGTTAATAAGGCAAATGAGGTTGCTTTTGTTTGTTTGGTTTTTGATATTTTTTTCTTTCTGGTATTGGGGATTGAACCTAGGAGTGCTGAGCTATAACCCCATCTTTAAAATTTTTTAAAAATTTGAGATAGGATCTAAGTAGCCCAGGCTGGCCTCAAATTTGCAGATCCTCTTGCTTCAGCTTCTGAGCGGTACCCCCATGCAACACATTGCCCAGCTGGAGCTAGTTTTTATTGGTGCCATTTTCTTACTAGCACTTAGGATGTTAGTAATGAAAAATACCTCTTCAGGACTGTAATGAAAGAAGGGCCACCACTACTGCTTATACTAATTAATAGACCGTGTTCAACTATGAGTAAATATACAAATGCTTATGTTTTTCAAGAATATTTCATGACTTCTACTCTGGGATGTTGAAAGAGATTTTTTAGTTATTGTAGCCAAAGCTTTCAGTAATTTTGTATATGCTATGAAAGAAAGCACTAGAAAAAAAATTGCCCCAATATAGTAATTTCTTTTGTTATCTAATTATATATTATATTACATCATCAGAATTTTCTATGAAAATATTTCTGGCCAGTCAATCAAGGTGCAGTCTAGAAATGTAACAGATGTACAACTTCCTGGCCAATTAATGAACTCTGACTATAATACGGTAATTCTGGATTTTTTTGCTCTTCAAGATACCATTCATGCTCCTATCTCAGAAGAGTATTTACACTGTTCACAAGATAAACAATTTTTATTGATTCTTGATTTTAAAATTTTATTTAAAAGAATAAACCTAAGGAAAATTCTGGCTAAATGTCATATTTGAAGACTGTATGGAAGACAAATATTTCACTGGATATATATATTTATCATGCTTTTCTCATTGAATCCTGATATCAAGTTACCAAGAAAAAAAATTGATAATGTTAGCCAAATAATATGTAGTTAAAAAATAATTTTAAGTATAATTTACTCATGAAACAGCCTATAGTCAGTAATTAAAGTAAATGAACCTGGTATTAAAATGCAAAATATTTAACAATATTTGTCATAGATGTTACAAACAACAGATACTGCTATTGCAGAAATATGCTACAGTTTGTAATAGCTAAAACTTGGAAAAAGCCCATTTGCCCATCGGTTGGAAACTGGATAAAGATGTGGTTTTTCTATAAAATGAAATACTACTCAGCCATAAAGGAGAAATTAGAGTCATGCATAGGAAAATGGATACATTTTGAGGATATACTCCTAAATGAAATAAATAAGTCACATATGTATATTGAATAATTTCTCTGGTGTGAAAAACTATAATAGTACTCAAGATCCTAATGGGATAATTAACAATGTGAAATAGGAAAAAAGGGGCTAAAGGTGTAGGGAAAGTGGGAAGGGTAGGGGAAAGGGACTAAGGGAAAAGAACAAAATGTAAGAAAATGAAAAAAATGGAATTAAAGTGTTTGCAAATGGGGAGGGGAGGAGGGGGTGAAGGGAAGGTAGGGACAAGGGGAAAAAATAGAACCAAGACCTGTCATGTAAAGGTACAAGATCCCAGTAATGAATGTAACCGTACTGTATACCTAGAATTTACCAATAAACTCAATAAAAAGAAAAAATTAAAATTAAAAAAAAGAAAAAAAAGCAGCATCAAGGAAAGCTAGATATCTGAAATAATAATAAATCAAAGACAGCCTTTCAACTTTTCTATCTATTTCAAATGCACCTGGCTCAAAAAAAAATACACCTGGCTCTTAATAATCTGATAAAGATATTAATGAAAATAATACTTGTAGCTGATAATAATCACTTGTTTGATTAACATGACAGCTTGATTTGACAGTTGAGTTAAACATTTTAAAAATGAATAATTTCTTCATTTCAAAAGCTTAAATAATTTTTAGTCTGCATACAGAGTAATAAAATGATAATACATGGTATAAAAATTTTATAGACACAACTTCAATTTAAGATGAAAATACTATGGGTTTATCTTTTTTTTTTTAAGTTTCTGTAAAAATACTACTTCAATGTAAAAACTGTCCTACACTAATATCCTACCAAGACATAATTTGTAAGGTGAAGAGATCTATTTATTTTTTTAAAATAAGTGTAAAACTCAAATAAAAGAATTCCAAGTATGATCTGTTATACTGCAATAGTCGCACGTTATGTCATACTACAGCATAGAGTTTCAGAGATTCTTTAAAATAAATAATATATATCAATGGAACACTTCATATAATTGTGAGGTTAAAAATCTTTTAGAATAAAAAGTAATGTGATAACAATCTAGGTAATTTGAATATTAAAATAACACCATATGGCCTGTGTCTAGATGTCCCCTGAAAGCCTCATGTGGTCCTAGGTGGGGCTTTTCAGAGGTGGATGGATCTAGAGTGGCAATGCTGCTATAAGGGTGTTTGATTACTAAATGAGTCCACCGATTGGTCTGGCATAGCTCTGGGTGTGGATAATGGGAAAACCCATCCTGGGTGTGAGTGCTACTCACCCGAAAGGCATGTAGCTTAGATGAATGTAACGGACAAAAAAGAAGGCAGCTGCCTTCTGCTGTTTTCTCACTATTTCACTGCTTTGCTGCCTTCCTGCCATCTACTTGCCACAAACTTGATGCCCCACTACAAACTGATGTCACCCGGCCTTGGCGCCAGCCAACTATGAATTGAAACCTTTACAAAGTGTAAGCCAATATAAACCTTTCCTCTTTTATCTTTGAGTATTATGTATTTTGTCTCAGCAAGGAGGAAAGTAAGAAAAACAAACAATAAATTTTCAAAGTGGAAGAGCCCATCAGAGCATTACAGGACATGAAAATAAAACCAGTGATACCAGCAGTGATTCTCACATACACAATCAAACAATTTTCTGTGGGACAGTACACAGAAACATTTAACCATACCATGACTTAAAAGAAAATCTGCTTTAAACGCAGTAGATACTTGCAAGTTAAGGAGGTTACCTGACTACTGGTTTCACTTATTGCTTCTAGAAGTTTTTCAACTGCTGCTTGTAGTCGAGAGCTAATGTTCAGCATAAGCTCTTCATTTTCAGGGTCTATCTCAGTTCCTGCAAAGCCACTCCTTACAAGTCGCTGCGACAGGTCTGTTCCTTCCTCAGTTACTTTCGACCACATGCTGTTGTCATTCTTTGGCATGTCACTTCCATGATAAGAGGGTATGGATTCATCTGTAGCTAGAATAACAGTATGTTAAAGGCATTAACCAGTTTTAATTAATAATTATAATACCTTAAAGGTACAGAATCAAGCCTAAGTACAACTCGAATAAGATTTACAGGGTCTTTTAATAATAGCATTGCAACAAAACAAATAAAATATGTAGATATACAATGTAATATTATTGAGTAACCAAGTAAAAAAGAATGATGGGGCCAGGGATTTAGCTCAGTGGTTCCGCCGTCTGCCTGGCAAGTGCGAACACCCGAGTTCGATCCCCAGTACCAAAAAATAATAATAATAAAAGAAAGAATGAGAAGGATAATGCCATGCTTATAAGACTACAAAAATTAATATTTTGGTTTTTATTTTTTTCTTTGATGAAACTTTTTTTTGGAGGGGGGGTGCTGGGGATCAAACGCAGGCTATCACTAAGCTCTGCTCCTAGCCTAATAAAAAACTTTTTTTTCCTGGTTTTTAAAGACACGGTCTCATTATGTAGTCCAGGCTGGCCTTGAACTCACCTTGTAGCCCAAGCTGGCCTCAAATTTACACCAATCTTCCTGCTTTAGCCTCCTAAGTACTGGGCTTACAGGCGTGACAAAAACTTTTAAAACAACTTTTAATAGATACTTAAGGCATCCACCACTAATCTGTTAAGTAATGGGACATAAAAGTGATAGGATGTAGTTCCCATCCTCAAGGACTTTACAGTGTAATGAGAAAATAAATACATAAGTAAGTATATAAAGGAAAACCCCACAGGATGTCCCAGATAAAGACAGAAACAGAGTAAGGGCTTGTATTTGTCTGGAGCAAACATTCTGACTTTTGAGCAATACAGTGAGCAGCATCACTTGCTCTGGCTACACATGAAAAGGGACAAGATAAACGTGCAGCTTGCCATTTTTGTGAAAGGTGTATTGGCAAGGGAGCAGACTAATGAGCAGTTCTAATTTAGTTATGAACATTATTTTCCACACTATCAACACTATTATGTTTTCTTACACAAGGAAAATTGAATTTATATGGGCAGATCAGCTTTGAAAGGGCTTTGTCAGAACTAACTTTTAAACTCACTGCTATCTAATGTAATCATCATCAATGGTAGCATGCCATAACCCAACAATTCCAAAGAGGAATTATCTATTGTTTTTATTACATTAGTACATACTAGTTGTTGGTAAATATACACAGTTTTAAAAAAGAGGAAGCTTAGCATATTTTATTAATAGCGTTTTTGTGGAATGGGAAGGTATAGCTCAGTGGTAGAGCATCTGCCTTGCATACATGAAGTCCTCGGTTCAATCCCCAGCAGGATAAAAACCAAAAAAGCCATTGTATTTACGTGTGCAAGCATATAAAGTAAATCATCTCAAATATTCTGAATGTTCTACTGAAGAAACAGTTTTTGTTTATTCCTATAAAATAAAGGATATCAAGCTCACTCTAATAAACTAGTCATTGATGTAAAAAATTTGAGGATAAATTTTTTACATCATACACACAGGCAAACCACATCATGAGCTAATAGAAACCTCAGAACAGCCAGTTTGCTGAACAGAAATCATTCTGATTGGTGAACCATGCAGAATTATGTCGCAAACACACAAAACAATAGCTGTTCAAGTGTTTTAGTCAAATACTTTATAGACTATACCATTAATATTCTGATAGATAATAATAAAGTAGGGTAGATGGGCGTTATCATTGAGCCTTCCCTACCTCAGTGGCTCTCTGAAGGTCTCTCTAGCTCCAAATGGAAACCATTAGTGTCTACTCTAAGCTGACTCTATTTGACAGATGAAAAAACTATACTAAAGATCTAGGAGATATAAGAAATTTACCCAAAATCACAGTGACCCAGGGAAAACAAAACATTCTCATTACTAACCCAGCATTCTTTAACATTACACTGCTCCAAAAAGAAGCTGCAGAAAACAAATTTAGTTCCTGGCTTCATATGGAGAGGTGACCACTCCACTGCTAAATTATCACAATGCAGGCCAAAAGGAGATTTTCTTTCAACACACCTGCGGAGTACATTTTTATGAACTGATCTAATATTTGTTCAAGTTCAAGTGATTTTTACATTGGCTCAAAAATTTCCTCTCAATTTCATAAACTGGCTTATTCTTTAAGGAAGCAAACATGAGCAAATAAATTATTTTTGAGTGATGACAAGCCCATGCATGTTTAAAATCTAAGCAAGTTCATACTTGAAGGCTGAAAATAGATCACAAGTGTCACTTACAACAAAAAGTACATAAAAAAATGAAAAGCAAAGTTGATTTGTAACCAGACTGATTTAATGTTTTTCTGTTGTGTTAAACAGGACATAAAAAAGAAATCTTTCAAAGGTGTACTTCAGGTTTTATAATATTTCCATTAAAAATAAGGGGAAAAATAAAGGACTGTCAAAAAATTTCTTACACATAAAGCATATTTTCAGTGTTTTTATTTTATATTTTCAATATTTTACAGCCAATATTTTCTTTCATGCATTTATTTTAAAAATTGAATGTTTTAAAGCATAAATTCTACTAATATAATGTTCAAAATGCAAAATTGATCTGATACACACCCCTCAATAATATTAATGGTTATCATATTATCATAATTTTATTAATAAGATTAAGATAAAATCACTAAAAATAAAACCATGAAGATTGAGTTAAATGGAGAGAAGACTGGTTAAACAGTGTAGCCAATGATGCTGATACCAGCAAAATTATCTCTGATGTAATATTCAATATACCATAGTTTTTAAATTAAAATTGTGAATTTTTCTCTTATATATGATTGTTCATTCTGAATCCATCAACAGTTAAATAATTAAAACTTTAAAGAACTTTACACACACACACAATACATATATAATTTCTAGAAGCTCAGTAAATATTCATAGAAGTGAACTGCTAAAATTTCTTATAACTGAAAAACTATTATTGAGTATTTTTAAATGGGCAGAAATATTTCATCTATACTGGAAGATTTAGATGTAGCTATAAAGAAAGTAGGCTAGTGGATAAAATGTCCTTTTAGGTCTGCTTTTCAAAGAAAATTTACATAAACATAATCCTGTGGGCTTGAGATCAACTACCAATTTATCCTTCTTTAATGACTGAGCACACTGCTCTAGAAGTGAGATTGCTGCTGTTTGTTGAGTATTTCAGCAATCCTGAGAAATATCTATGAGAACTGCTAACAAAAAGGCACAAAATATTTTTTTTAAATCTACCACACATTCCTTTGCATATAGGAATCAATCTGGTCTCAGTTTTACCAGGAAACAGCAAAATTCCTCCCTCAATGATTAAGTGAAACCTGTTAATTGCTTTTACAAAGTATAATTTGGTAAACACTTTTACAAGTTTTAAATATCTTAAAATATTCTTCTCATCGCTTCTTGTCCCTCTGGCTAAGAACAAGTGTAGTATCTGTTCTTCTCAGTTTAATATCTGACACATCCTCTGAGGACAATACATTAAATGGGTTTTCGGAGCTGGGAGATGGAACAGGAGCTTGCTCCATACACTCCATGCATCGACCTGGTATTGCAGCAGTTCCAGGAATGGTGCACCCCTCAAAAATATTTTTTTCCTTACACATCAAGATCCATAACCAGAAATTATAGCACTTGAGATCCTAAGAGTGGAGATAATGTGAAAATACTTTTACCAAGTTTGAAAAGAGTGAATTTGAAATGAAGGTATAAAATACAGTATTATTTCAGATCTTTTTTTTTTGGTACCGGGGATCAAACTTGGGTCCTTGCGCTTCTGAGGCAGGAACCACTGAGCTAAATCCCTGGCCCTTATTTCAGATTTTATATTACTAAAAGGAGTTTTTAAAAGAATCTTTGAACTCAAGTAATGTTTCTAAGTGAATTTTATTTTAAATTCTAAATCAAGCTTTTCTTTGCACCTAGAAACACACTCCTGGCCAAGCTGTAATGAGGCAAACCTTTAATAACTGGGAGTTTCATTTCATTTGTCCACAGGAAGCTTAACAGACAAAATGCTCCCAAAAATTATAAAAACATTTCCAAAGATGTGCCTCTACTGGGGGAGAAGAGTTTGGGTGAGAAATTGGGAGTGAAATATAGGCTTGATTTTCTACTTCAAGAAATAAGCCCCTATCTGTCTGCATCTTACAAAAATTTATCTTCATAGATTTCTTCTCCAGCAAGGATTAAAGAATTAAAAAATGAAGAGATATTGGAGGTCAGCAAAGAAACTGAAGACCCTGACCCACTTAGCTACAGAAAGAAGACAGAATTAGAAAGATGGCTACGTCATATCAGGACTCACTATCTGGAACTTCACATACTGTCTTATTTCAAACTACTTTCTGAAAAGGAGGAAAGGATCTAGCAGAGAATAATATTAAGAATAAGAACAAGCCTTGGGTTAAAAAAGGGCTTTCTTCTAATCATCCCAATATGTATGTGAGACTGAGCTAGATTCCTACACTTGATCTTAGCCAAAAGACTGAGAAGTGATGGGGCTGGAATCTTAAAAGCTCTTTATTTTATAGAGTGGCCATAGGAGTCCTCAGTAGCAATGCATGATATTTCTAAGTGGCCTTCTGGTGTATGTAGGAACAGCAGCAACTCTGGGTATGTATGATGACAGTCCTAAGGCACTCACTTGCAAATGCTATACAATACTGGTGCTTTGAAGAGTGGATTTAATGTATTTATTTGTGTTTGGAAGTCCACTTGCTGCAAAATATATACTTGACTATTCTTTCTTCCATATTTTCCATGGATAGGAAATGCCTTAACTCAGCAGGATTTGTTAAATATGATGACTATTTAAACATCCTATGAAACTAGTACCTCTTGTATGTTCCTCTTGGACACATGATGTTACAGGTGCCTCTGCTTCTGACCTCCAAACTAGATTGCTGGATGACTGGCCTTTACAAGATCTATCTAGAATCCCAAGGACATGGCGGCCAATTGTTTCTTCCACAGCTGCTGTTGTCTTTACAACTTCTAAGAGGATCTTCAAGAGTCTGTTATTAGCTTTCTGGAGTGCATACCTGTACAAAGAATCATTAAAATGTTTGATCTTTAAAAGTGAACACTTCATTAATATCTCATAAAAATGTACTATAAATAATGTACGTGACTGGAAAAATATCATATAGTATTATGCAATAGCACCTTCAATGCTGCACTTCTTGTTTCTGATTTATTTTTAAGCTATATAATAAAATGATTTGTTTTCTGCTAAAAATTTTAACTGTATTAATTATAACATTAAAAATGTTTTATTGACCTTGTAAAAATGTTTCACTAACATTAAAAAATGTTTTATTGACCTGAAACAAAAAAACTTTTAAGTTAGTAACTAAATCGGAAGAAACTTTTAATGAGACAAAACTTAAGTTTTAGAAACCCAAGCATGCTAAGTTATTGAGCTTGTAATACTATTTACAGTTATTCACATGTATCTTACATTTCATCTTTTTTATGTGCCAAATAATATTTTAAAATGTAATTTTTAAATCCCAGCAGAAAAAAAGTGGCAGCATTTCTACAATGTACTGGGTGTAAATTAAGCGTTCAAATTTTAAACAGTGACAGACAGAGACCTGTTTTTAAAAATATCTATAGTGAAATTTCAGTCTGCCCACACCAAGGGAGTATCAGAGACCATTTTTATTATATCTGCTTGAAAGATGAAATACCTCTAGTTACACATGCAACACTCATATGAGCAGAAGAAAAAAAAAACTATATTCATTTAACTGGAAATGAGTCTCTTTTCAAAAAGCTAAGCAATATATTTTTTTAATTATAAAATATTGCTAATTACCCTCCAAACTATGTCAATACTTAGAGATAATCACTATTAACATTAAAATGTCTACATTCCTAGACATTTTCCTATCTAAATAAGTATAAAGCACAAACATATTAAAACAAGAATGTGATTACACTGGAAAGTGTTTCTCCAAGTTTTTTTTTTTTTTTTTT